CGGTTGTCATGATACCAAAATATAAACTCTGACGCCTCCGTATTTTGCACAACACGACATTGCAGGCGCAGTGTAGAGCCAGGCGTCAAATATCGTATTGGCGGGCCTGTAATTTCGGCGCGTGCTTCTAAGCGAATTGAATGGATAAAAACGCGAGGCGGCAAAGGCAGTCGTCAATTGCAGAGGCCATGTAAAGCGCGATAGAGCGACGTAGCAAAATCGCAGAATTGCATTTGTTGATTAAAGTGCAGTTGTCGTTGTTGTAGTTGTATCAAATCAAATGCATGTAGTTTGGAATATGGCAATGATGCGACGACGGCAAAGCCATGAAATTAAATCGAAAATACATTTGGCGAAAATTAGTAATCGAAAGCAATTAGAATTATATGTATATATGTATGCATGTATGTATGCATTTGCAGATTGTTCGGGATATGCATGTATTGTTTGCATTCGTTTTGCCTACTTTCGTGCGTGCAGCTTTGATTTGCATTATTCGCGCGATTGGCACGCGTTGCTATCCGTTGGTGCTGCTAAGCGCCAAATGCAAAAGTGAAATTGAGTTCACACTGATTGCTGCCGCTACCGGTCACCGCAAATACGCAAACACAAATGCGCCAACCGTACGATACGCTAATACTATTAATCTGACTTTTTCCTGCGCGGAAACTAGCAAATACAAACAAAACAACCGTCCTTCCGACCAGTTTAATCCGCTTAGCTAAGTCGCCCATTTATTTATATGCACCAAAAAACTTGATTTTGGTGCTTTTATTGTCTGTTTTCTTTTTTTTGTTTTCAATTTACCATTTCCCACCGCCATCGCGGATTCAATTATGTTAAATGTGATTTCTGATTTGGCATCATTTGATTTAATTGAGTGTGCAAAGTGACTTTTGATGCCGTTGGTGGAGAGAAAATTTATGGAATCAGTATAAAACACGAATTTGTGTGCGTATCGTCATAAAAAAAATATACAAAAAATATAACTTTTAATTAAGCAATAAACATATTCATACATTGACTTCGTTAGTTTTATAACTGCATAGAAATAGTGTTTTAATTTTTCAATTAACTCTAATTACCACGTACTCTTAACCCCTCGTCTGACACATGAGCCTAGCCAGGCCTTTTCCATTTTCAAATTACAAAAAATGCCACTTTAAATATAGCTAGAGGCTTGAAATTTCAGGTAGCTTACTAAAGTTTAGTGAATTACCAATCGTTAAAAAAATCATGCTGGTATCATATATATAAAGCTATATATATAGACATGTTGATTAATACAACACATTCATAACACATAGGTCTGACTGGACCCACATATAATCTGGGTAATTTTCTTTCTTTTTCTTCCATGTTACTCGGAGTTCGCTTGCGCTATGCTAATCCTCTCTTGACCACAGCGCTCAATTTTGCGATGGCGTTGAGGTCTGGGATTTGTGTTGGCCACTGCGTTACGTGAAAATTTTGCTCAAGTAGCCGGCGGTGTCGAATATTTTCAGAATCCTTTGGATCTCCGTCCTGCTGGAAAGGGTTTGCGCTACAAAGTCCGGCAAATTTGTTTGGAGGATATGGAGATAGACTTCCTTGTTCATTATTCCTTTTATATTAACCAATGGCACCAAATGCCAGCAAGTAGAACATCCCTAGCCACTGAAAATTTGTAAAAGTCACGAGAATTGGAGCTTTTCGACTGAAGAGGGGTAATATGGTCACATGGAATGAAAATGAATTGAATCCAAAGCGATAAAAAAGAATATTTTTGGGAAAGAGCTCATCAACATCTTCAAAAACAACATGCCAAGAAAAACGTCTCACATGGTGGCCAGCACAAATCCCAGACCTCACAGATAACGAAAAATTGAGCGCTGTGGTCAAGAGAGGATTAGTATATTACAAGCGAGCTCCAGTAACATGGAAGAGCTTTGGAGGCGAGTAAAATTATAAAGAGGTAATATTCCAAGCGAAATCACAGAAAACTCATTAGAGAGCATTCTCAGACGTATGAAAACCGCTATTAAAGGCAAGGAAGTCTCCACAATCTTCTTGATATTTACCTCCTAAAATCTCAAAACAGAAAAGTTCAAAACTGAGTGAATAGAGTTGCCTTGCGGTTTTGCCGTGAATCGCTTGTTAGGTTTCCCGTATACTAGGCTTTATTCCTTAGATAGTAAGGACAAATTGCTGAAAATTTCAAAGCGATCTGCTTATTGTTAAACTAGCCGGCCACGCGCTGAATGTATACATATGCGTTTATTATATGCATAAAAAATCTTGTCTATATCCGTTCAGTAGAATGGTCAAAATATCTCGCCTTTTCTTTATACTAAGTATAGAAGATAGTAATTTTAAATAGGTGGCAAGCCTACTCAAGAAACTTAAAGTTTTTGTACATGGGAAGGCCATGCACTTTAATTTGGTTTTTTTTATCCAACGAACGGTGAAAATCTTACAGTCTTTAAACAGGTGGCAACCCTACTAAGAAAAATAATGCATTATAGACTAAGTCTTTTCATTTGACAGTGACGGTGCGAAACTGACGCCTACGCTTATTAGAATTGAATATAGTAATTTTATTAACAGGTGGCAACCCTATTAAAATTCTAAATTAAAAAGGTCACTCTCCTATCGATACAGAATATATTAGAGAAAATCTCGTCAAAATCCGTTCAGTAGTTTTCGAGATTACTGCGTACAAAAATCTCGACTTTCCTTTATACTATGTATAGAAATGTTGTGTTACTGTAGTAACAAAATGTCGAACAGGCACTCGGTTTTGATCGC